GTATCACGTTAGCTCGACTCATTCAAACTGTGATGAGATTATAGTTCACGGATTTGTCAGGACTCACTTTGATTGAACTTTCTCAGACACTGATTAACAACTATTATTGGATTTAATTAGGCATTTTGTCTCTTTGCCTTTTAGATGTGACAATAAACTCATCTATCAGAATGAAGCAGATTATAATCCACCATTCATTCATTCATGATTGAGAGGTTAATCCCATTGAGCCTCGGGGCTCAGGAGACCTGATCTCAACAAAGAATGATGACAACAATGGACAGTCACAAAAGAGGCATACACATTTATTTATTTAAACTAATCACCTGTGTTGTATCACATCTAGGAAACAATCTTCTTCTTCTTCTTCTTTTGGCTGTTCCCTCTTCAGGAGTCTTCACATTGAGTTATCCTCCATCTGTGTCCTCTGCGTCCTCTGTCCTCACTCTGTCCTCTGCGTCCTCTGTCCTCACTTTATCTCCCAGTTGTTCAACTTGTGCTGTACCTCTGAAGATCTCATTCCTGATCTTCTCCATCCTTGTCTCTCCTAAGAAGAACCTCAACATCTTCATTTCTGACACTTCCAGTTCTGTCTCCTGTCTTTTTGTCCATGTCTCTGTCTCCAGACCATACAACATAGCTGGTCTCACCACTGTCTTGTAAACTTTTCACACAACTGCAACAATGTTATTGAAAACATAACTAAAAAAGAGAATGAAAGAGGGAAGAAGTCACGTATGTTGTATAATTTAAAAATAAATATTAAACTAATAAAGATCTAATGGCAACATTTCTTGATTTTGGACGGCCTAGTAAAGGCACATTAAGTTTTGTCCGTCATTGACATAGTCATACTTTATTGTAAAATCCTGATTTTTAATTAAAAAAAAATTATTATGGAATTTGATTGCTTAAATAAAAATAAAAACTTTTATATATATTTTTTGTCCTTTTTATACAAAATGATTCCCTCTCCACTTTTCTGCAGCTGTTTTTAACAATTAGGAATTGGTGTTCCTCCTGTTATTAAGTTTTTGGGTGAACCAGTTTTCCACCTGATGAGGTGTTCATGGTGCAATACGTTAATATTTCTTTTACCAAACAGATTAATCAGATTTTATGCTCAGTATAGACGGAGGCCCCTGATATAAAACATTTTAGCACAAACATCTAAGGGCTGATTGATGGCTAATGAAAAAACAACCTTCTTTAGTTTTGTTGTTTTTTATGTTACCAGAATAATAAATAGACGTTACAATGAAAACTGAAGGGATGCAACATCTACCAGACACAAGACAAGAAACAAACTTCTGCTAACCGCTGATTATTAAAACTAATTTGTTTAAAAAATGTCAGTAGTGATGCTGTTTTATATCTTTTTATTTTAGAAATGTTTGGGTCTATCTGGCAGTACGTCTACACGTCGTTCCTGAGGTTCTGGCTGAAGTGGCTCATCCGACAGGTGACGGGAACGTGTGAGTTGCAGAGACTTTTCTCCAAATACACGCCGGGAGCATCGAGGACAACAAGAACGGGTAAATCCAAACATCCCGACATGAGGTCTGCTTCCTTTATATTATTCACTGATCTGCCTCCTGTCCTCTTCTAGAAAACTCTCTCCAGGCGTCTAAGAACCAGGTAAGACATGGACAGGAAGTTAAGAACCAGGTAAGACATGGACAGGAAATTAAGAACCAGGTAAGACATGGACAAGAAGTGAGTTTGGTCTCAGGTTGTTGACGTCACACAGCACAGCTGCTGAGTTGTGGGTTAGTAGTTATTTCTTTACGTTATGTCTGTTTTTTCCTTCATACAGCTTTTGAACAAAACAGCCTGTGAACTACAGCATTACTTATCAACATCTGCTTTTAGAAAAAAATGAGGGATTAAATCAATTTTCTGTAAAGCCAAATTTTTAAACAGATTTTTGTGACAATGAGGATCATGCTCTTTTCATCCTTTTAAATCAGACATGAAATTTAAAGGTAAGCTCTAAGAATGATCCAGAAACATTATTTGTATTCTTTGCTTACCTGCTACAAAATGCAAAAATAAAAATCCTGCCGTAACAGACAGCTCAAACTTAAAACATATTAAGATTAGAGCTCGACTGACATGGAATTTTTGGCTAACGCCGATACCGATATTGGGAGGGGTAGGCGACCGCTGATAACCGATACAATGGCTGAAAAAACTGCACTTTGTCCACCCCCCAAGAATCTAAGAAAACAGCGAGTGCAGCGGGGTCTGTTGATTTAGTGCAGCTGTTAGCGATCGTGAAGCTAAGCTAATCAGATCCACCTTAAATTAGTCCCACTGTGCTGCCTTCTGTTCAAAACGGTAAGTTCAGCGTGTGAGGAAGTTACATAAATGAGGTGATCAATAAGTTCATAGTTACTAATTAGTTTAAGTCAATTCATGCTAAAAACTGTTAAAATGTTTTGGGTTTGAATTCCAGTCAGAGTGAGACATCAAACCTTCGTCATATTGTAGGTGCAGCGCATGAGGTAGTGAGTGCTCTTACCACAGAACAATCTTTGATGTCTTGTAAAATAAAGCGCTTCTGAAAATAAGAGAAACAGCTCATATAAACTAAATGTGCCCTACACGCTTGTACCTTGGAAGACTTTCGTCTTTTTTACAAATCCATAAATAAAATGTCTTCAGTAAAGTCGAGAAAGTAAACCTCGTCTGAGGACTTTTTATTTTGTTCGCCGTCTAGCTTCACATCGTCACGTGTTGTGAGAACTGCATGCCCACACTAACGTTGGCGTGCTAACCTGAGAGGCACGTAGCTAACGACAAGCAGGTTGGTGGATTGGAGATCCACCAGATCAGATCAGTTAAAATAAACACCGTGCTTGTTTCAGCAAAATACCCAACACAGAATTTATTGCTCCCTGCTTCATCTGTGCTGAAAGTGAAACTTAAAAGTGAACGGCCATGACTTGAAGGTGGTCTTCATGTGCCCTCTGCTGGATATATTGTACAATTACAGCTGCTTCCAGCATTTTAGGGGTGAAAAGTGTTTATACCAGTTGATAATGGGACCGTTGTCACCGATACTGATTTGTCTATCAGCCTAAATTATCGGCCCTGCTGATATATAATTTCTGCTGATATATAATTTCTGCTGATATATAATTTCCGTCTGGGATTAATAAAGTATTTTTGAATTGAATTGATATATCGGTCGGGGATCTAATTAAGATGCACTGGAAAACACTAACTGCAGCACATACAGTATGCAACTGGATTGAAGTTATTTTTCTTGTCTAAAATAGAAATATTTGGTTTAGTCTTGAACTCTGTTATCTTGTTTGTCTTGTGTGAACTCAAATATCAGTACATCCTCTGAGCTTTGTGAATCTTTGTCTTAACCAAGCCTTGCCAAGCTGAGGTACATGACTGTTGTTTGACTTCCTGCTGTTCGTTGTTTTTCTGATTACATTCTCCAACACAGTGTGTTCTTCCCTTCCAAGGTTTTAAGAAACGCCTTAAAAACCAGCAGTGACCACATAGAGCAATGTGTGGAGCACATTATGAAGGAGAAGGACATAAACCCCCAGAAAGACTCTCTGTAAGATGACTTATCTGCACTGAAGTTCATGCCCAGCTCCAGGCTTTTCATTTCTCTGTAACGCCTGATTTGTCAGTGACTTGTTTCCATGTCCGTTCCGTTTCAGATTCAGAGGGAACCTGCACATCTGTCTGCTGCAGATCGTAGGATACAGCAGCTTGTACACATCTGTAGAAGACTTGAGAAAAGAAGTGTTCAGCTCAGAGAACCCTGAACATGAGGCCATGCTTTTAAAGGTGCAGACTTAAGTTTCTGCATCCAGACTTTTCCAGGACAGCGTGGCTGCACGCTGGATGTGCTGCAGCAGATGTTTGCTCACATTTGACCATCGTGAATGACAGAAACCGCACTGGTTTGCTTTTGTTCGTGCCGTTTTACTACTACGGTAGTTTTATCAATGTTATCTGATGTACACAGTGAATGATTAAATATGAATGCTTGAAAAGTGTGTAAAGTGCTGTTCAGTTCAGGGTCAGTAAAAAGAGTTTGTCTTGTTTCCAGCTGTGGGACACGTTGATGCCAACAGTCAAGCTCGAGTCCAGAATAACGAAGCAGTGGGGCGACATTGGATTCCAAGGAGATGACCCAAAAACTGACTTCAGAGGAATGGGGCTGCTGGGGCTGATCAACCTCGTGTGAGAACTCCACTTGTAACAATTTGTAACTTTGTTTTTGTGCAGCTTGATCTGCAGAGAATTGTGTTTCAGTCCTGAGAATATGGAATAGCTCTTCAGGTTTGGATAAGTTTGGGAGGAAGATGACGGAAAAGCATCCTTTGATTTTTTAAAACAATATGGTCAAATATAATACAAGGTCTAGGCTACATTAAACATGATGTCATTGTTGCCGTCTGCAAAGAGCCTAAATATTTTTGGTTTGAGTAGAATAACAAGAACATTTCAGAGCTTCCATTAATCCTCTAATGAAAATGCGTCGATCACTTCACTCTCTTTCAAACTTCTGGTGTGCTCCTCTCCTGCTGAGGCTCGATGGACCAAACTGTTGTTAGGCTGGTGGGGGGAGTTTTTAAAAGGTATAAATGCATCATCCTGATTCATGCTCAATAATCCAGGTAGAAAAATCCAGTAAAGTTAAGTCAGAGACTTCATTGGACCGACTCAGTCTCATCTGGATGCAGGTACCTGCTGCCCAGATGTAGAAGGAACAGACTCGTTCATCCCTGCAGAGATAGGACTTCTCAGCAAACGATGATTTCTTTACGGTTATTTTAATGTCTTCATTTTAGTACGGATGTTTTGTGCACCTACTGACTGAAACAAATTACCCCCTGGGGATAATAAAGATACTTATAAATAGCACCTTCACAGTTTGATGGTGCTCTGATGGTTTCTGAGATAGAAACCATCAGAGTCCAGTCTTGAATGATATTTTTACAACATGCAGCACCATCAAAATCAAGAAACTAATAAATTGAAATGGAAAGTTAATGAAAACATCGTTTCCCCGCAGCTGTTTGTGTTTGATAAAAATATCCTCTCCTCCTCTTATTGCTCAAACACATGGTTCATGGGCAGTTAACATTCTCATCCATAGTCGTTAAAAACATCCATGAACTTTGACCCCTGACAGTCTGATGAAGTCGCACCTCACACAGTGTAGTAACTTGAATTTTAATAAACTGTCATTTATCAGTAAATGTAGTTTTGAATGACTGTTTTGAGCTCTTCTAGATTTAAAAACGAGCTCTTCATTAAACCTGCGCAGGATGAGGATGTTTGGACGATGCTCCAAATTGATGCCGTATTGTTTTTATTTGTTTATGCATTAATTTGCTGCGCCATCTTCACGATGATCGAGGATTACTCTCATAAATATGTAATGTTTTTTTAAATGTGCTGTTTGCAGGTTTTTTAGTGAAAACTACACCGCAGAAGCTCGTCAGGTGTTGTCACATGCAAATCATCCCAAACTTGGGTAAGAGACATTCGGCCTCGTGGAACTGGAGTTACACCTGAAATGTACGTTCCATAAAGATTTTCTTAACGTGTGGATATGTTAGCTACTCGTACGCTATAGTTGGGATCAACGTGACAGAGATGGCCTACAGCTTGCTGAAGAGTGGAGCTTTGAAACCACATTTCTACAACACAGTCCACGGCACGCCTGAGCTCGAGCACTTCCATCAGCTCTACTGTGAGTCAGCCACATCCCACCGTCCTTCTGTTCTTTGACGGTTTTCACAATCCACCCTTCCTTCTGCAGGTTATCTTGTGTACGAGTTCGATCGGTTCTGGGTCGCTGAAGAACCCGAAAGCATCATGCAGTTCAATCATTACAGAGAGAAATTCCACGACAAGGTCAAAAGTCGTCTCCAGGACCCCGACGTGGCTCTTTCACTGACTGCAGGTTCTCACTAAGGTCTTTTCTCCATGCTCACCTCTGATCTCCTGATCGGTCTGCGTCCGTGCAGGAGTTGGACGGTTGGGCAGGAGAACGGCTGATTCACAAACGGAAAGCTTCGTTCATTAGTGATGATGTAGGTTTTCCACACGCAGCACGACTCGTACCTCTGACATGACCGTTCTCTGGTTCATGATGGAGGAGACGTACACATCCACAGCTTCTAGACACTTTGGAGGATCAAACTATCCTGAAGACTACTTCAGCCGTTGTGCTAACTGTAGCGTGCTCTGTCAGTTTTCCTGCCCAGGGATCGATCCTGTTTAGAGATCATGGATTCAGTAACTGAACTGAAGCTCTCCTTACAAGTTCTACACGACTTCTTGCCTTCACTCATTAACATGTTGTGTTTGTGACTTGAAACCCAAATGGTTCCCCACACCAGTCTTCAAGAATTTGTATGTCCTATATCAGATACAGAACTTTTTAATTAATTTTATGTGATTTAATTTAGAGTGTAATACTTCTTCTCAAAGTCAATAAATCGACATTTGACTTAAAAGACGTTTTGTGTTCGTGCGTCTAAACGAAAAGAAACAAACATATTTGTAAAACTAGTCAAGTTATATTTAGGATTTACAGAAACATTTTGTACACGTACACTGGTTTAGGCTACCCAGCATGCATCACTGGTACAGGTACATGTACACAAAGTCAACTTTGTACTTTAACTTTCACAATGGTTTCACTGGGATTGTGTATTATAAATAAAAAAAATAAAATCGTCTCATACACGTGCAGTTAAATATAAAGCTACGTTTGTTAAGATCAAAGTTCACGCTCAATAATCCAGGTAGAAAACCCAACAAAGTTCAGTCAGGTCCTCTGGACGGTTCCTTTGTGTTGAAACGTTTCGTCTTTCATCCAAAGGACTTCTTCAGTCTTATAAACAGCACCTTCACATAGTTGATCAACCGGTTTGATGCGCTCGGATGGTTTCTGGAGTCCACCCTCTCCACCAACTCTTGAGGCAGTCATGGCCAAAGTGGTTCAGAATATATTATATATTCAGGTCTCTCTTGTAAATGAGTCCCCGAGGCTCAATGGGATTAATCTGTATAAATAAAGGTTGAATGAAAAATATCCTGATTCATGCTTCAGGATATTTTAAACCACTTTGACCATGACCGCCTCAAATCGGCAAAACATCAAAGTTCATGCTCAATAACCTGGATTTACCTGGATAATTGAGCATGAACTTTGATGTTTTGAACCACTTTGGCCATGGCTGCCTCAGAGGAGTCGACGGGGGAGAGGGCGGACTCCAGAAAACATCACCATCAAACTGGTGGACCCACTATGTGAGAGAGCTGCTTATGGGTCTGAGTTTGTTGTGGCTCCTCGTACTGATGAAGTCCTTTGGATGAAAGTTAAACCGTTTCAACAAAAAGAAACCGTCCAGAGGACCTGACTGAACTTTGTTGGATACGTTAAAGGAAAACGGCTAAAACAAGGATTAACAGTGTTTGCTCAGCGGCACAACCGTCAGTCGGACTTTGACTTGGGGAGCTCAGTTTGTCGCCTCGATCCTCTTCTTCGTGATCATCATGGCTCTCTTGATTTGCTCGAACGAGACAAACATCACAACGTTCCACGATCCCAACCTCAGAAACGAGGGCATAAATCTGCACAAAAGGAAAAAGTGCAACAAAGTCAAACAGCTGTTGTTGTTGGCAGGTCCAGAGTTTAGTTTTTAAACTAAAGCGAGGCGGCTGGTAAGAGCTCACCCTTTGTAGAAGGCCGTCGGCCCCTCTTTGGTCATCATGGTCCAGGCACAGTTCATGGCACTCTTGTACTGGCCCAGTGGGGAGTTCATGTATCTCGTCTTCACTACGTCTACAGGGGAAGCGACCACCGTGGTGACGAAGCCGGCGCCGAACGCAGACACAAAGTGACACGGCAGGTTGTCTGTGGACAGATGAGACGGATGTGAGCCGGCACAAACGCCCAGAACGGAACAGTTTGTGTTATCTGCAGAACGGAGCAATATAAACATCTACAGCGAGGACGTTCAACTGGTGGCCCGCAGGCCAGACCTGGTCCACGGGTGACTCCACTAACGAGTCCAAAATATATTTATTTATTATTTTTTTGGTTCCGAGTTTGGGTTCTGTTTATTGCATTTAAGATTCGATACAACAAAACAAATCTAAAAGGTAACGGATCATTGTAATACTTGGTTTATTTACATAATGACTTTCATTTCTGGATGTTCGTTGTTGAATGTTGACGAGCCCTGATCTACAGTGTTGACAGCACTGTAGGGGTTAAAAACTTGTTCTGATCGCTGACAAGTTGTGTGTGTGTGTGTGTGTGTGTGTGTGTGTGTGCGCGCGCGCGCTGTTATCAGCTGCTGAACAGGTGAGTGGGTTTGAGGAGTTTGGACCAATCAAAAGCCGTCTGAGGTGGCGTGCATGTGAGAGCCTGGCTGAGGCGGACTCGTACCCGACATCAGTTTGTGTCTCAGGATGGCCTCTTTGATCAGGTCATAGGTCACCAGCTCTGTGCAGTTGACCAGTGCGTTCCTCGTGATGTTGGGCAGCATTCCTGAAAGGACATCATCCGTTTAACGTGCGTTTCAAAATATTTTCCTCGTGTTACTCGTATTTATACTCACGAAGCACCTTTCCAGAGTCCTCGCATGCCCTCGTTCAGGAAGATGTGTCTGTACGCTTGCATTGTGCCGCTGTAACGTCGAGCCGACCCGTTCAGGTTCATCTGGGCTTGGAACCGGACCTTGACCACGTCTGTGGGCTGAGCAACGGACACTGCCATGGCACCTGTTGTGCAGCCAGCCAGGATTCGTACCAACACACTGTCTGGAGCAGAACAAACACAATTAAATTCATTAATTGGGGGTCGTCCTCCAGAAATTTTTGAATAAAGTAGATTAGATTTCCAGCATTTTGGTGTATTTTAACGGGTTGTTAAACAGTTACTTGTACCTACATTTGTAAACACTCCACTTCTGTCAAGCCCCCCCCCCCCCCCCCCAACAGAACAGTCCCTGGTCGTCGTCGTCCGACTTCACATGTGAACCTCCAGGCGGCTGCCTGTGGGCTCCTGCCGGCGTACGACGGCCTGGTTAGCTCGGCACTCACACCCACCACTCTTAGGGTAGACGTGGAAATGCTGCCTGCTCGTAAGTGGTGTTTAAAATGAGAGTTTATATAATTATTTTCCAATATGTTTTATTTGTTCAAGGCAGTCATATTTGTTTATAACTTTATTATGAGTAAACCTGAGACTTACTTGATCCATCAAACAATTACCGGATCACACCCTGTCAAAATATGAGAGTTCCCAGATCCTGTTCCGACAGGAACTGGCTCAAATTGAGCCCTGGTTAGGATGCCTGAGAGAAGTGGAGAGTGCTCTATTCACACAAGGAGAGCTGTTGGTCAGGTCCCTTCTTGTTGCTCTCTAAAATAGTTATTTAATCAAGCGCTTACTTGTAAATGTAGATGTTTAACAACCCATTAAAATACACCAGAATGCAGGAAATGGCATCTACTTTATTCAATATTTTCTGGGGCAGAACCCCCCAGATCTCCCCCCCCCCCCCACCACTCCCCCACATAACAAATGCTTCTGATATGTCTCTTCTGCTCTACTTTGGAGAAATGGGGGTGTCGAGTTAGATTTGGCTCAGCTGTCTGTGTACTTCAGTCTCTTACTGTCTTTGCCTCCACTGTAGAAGTTTTTGACGCTGTCGTAGAGGCCGATCCTGATGGAGGCGAAGCACACTTGTCTCTGCAGTCCAGCCACCAGCCCGTTGTACAGAGACTTGGGCCCCTCGGTTCGGACCATGGTGCTGATGGTCCCGAACACTCCTCTGTAGCGTATACCTCCCACTGCTTGCTTCTCTCCTTGTATCTGTGGAGTTGCACTCAAGGTCAAACCTGTGCAGGTTTCTGCTGCAGGACTGATTCAGGGAGGCTGACGGACTCCACGTGAATCTGCTGCGTCAGCCAAATATCACCGCGCTAAACTACACAACAATCTGAGGAGGTTTCTGATGCAGAAGCTTTTCTATTAATAACATTGTATTTTTTTAAGGCGCTGGCTGAGCAGGTACCTGCAGTCTGACTTTGGCTGTGTCCAGAGGAAACGTGACGATGTCGGCCACACAAGCGGCTGCTGCAGCGCTGGCCATCTTTACTCCCAGAGGAGGAGGAACATCTGAGGGTTTAAGGCCTACCATGTTTCCTGTAACTGAGCAGACAGCATGCAGTCGTACAAATATCAAGTTCAGACCTCCCATAAACATCAACCTCATTTACTAATCATTCATCTTTACTTACATGATTTACAGTTCACGGGTCCACAGTAACGAGCTTCAGTGTTGGAGCCAAAAGGCCAGACTGTAATCCATGAAGGGCCCGTGGCACTGAGACGAGAAAAAGGATCTTTTGCCCTGTATTTATATATTTTCTGTGTGACTTTTTTTTTTTTATAGCGCGTCACGGTGTACTTCTGGTTAAATCAAAGTCCACTAACTGTCAATCAATGTTCAATTTACCTCAGAGGGCAGACACAGAAAAACAAGAGTTCCTGTGAAGATGAATCTTATTCAACCTCTGGTATAGAAAGATTCTTAAAAGTTGCATTTTAAAATAACATTTCCTCCCTTTAAATATAATTAACACAATGTTCACTGAGCTTTTTTTTTTTTGCATCAGCAGATTTGTCTTCATCTCTTACAGCTGCCATAAACTTACCGTAATATTAAGTAATTATTGACTTTGTTAGATCAGTTATCTGCTTGAACATCGGGGGTATCAGCACATTATCAGATGATTTCAGTGGAGGCTTGTCTGTGTTCTCAGCCAATGGGAGCTTGAGCTGACTGTACAAATCACAGAGTGTCCTGCAGAATTTAAAGCCATCACAGAACGCTCCTTCACGTTTAACATCTGCCGAAGGTAACGGCGTGTCGTGACACTAATCCGACCCCCGTTTCTTAAGGATGGCCGTTCACGGTTCATGTTTTTATGTGAACCTGAAGTGGTAAGAGTTGTGACGTGAAGCGATGACTGAAGTTCACCGTGGAGCAGATAAAAACTTGTCGTCTCGTTCTGTTTTAACCCTCAGAAGTTTGGCAGCAGTTGAACCTGTTACATAAAAGTAAATACAGCTCGTGTGTTGACTCGAACAAAAGCTTAGAGTAGATTATGAGAAACACAAATTCACAGAAGTTACTGAACCGACTCGTACGGTAAACATGGATTCACAGAGGACGATCACCTGAACCTCTGAGGTGGTGATTCATTTTATGTTAAATTAAATTAAATTAAATTGGTATCTGTGGGTCTCTTGTGGTAAATGTGGCTTCAGAATTGAGTGGCCATATTTCCTGCTCATTGATAGAGGAACAACAGATGATGGTTGGAACTGACCATAGCTCTGTAGACGTCACATGGAACTCGTAAACACAATTCACTATGACATCATCATATGCTGGTTAAAGCTCTATCATGCAAAGGAGATGCCACATTTGAACACCACACAGAAAAACGGTTGACTCTGGACCAAAGTTAAAGTCGGGGAATTTTTGGTCAAATGTTATGGATGTTCGTATTTTTATGGTTGGGAACAATCTTTCCCTCTGCCCTGAGAAGAAGAAGTCCAAAACAAGCTGAACCATCTCCCATAACATCTCATCTCTGCCCATGAACCATGTGTTTGTGTAGATGAAGATTAAGACGCAGGCTTCAAGGACGACCCCTGAAGTCTGAGAGCTTGGCTGAGCTCAGATATAAAATTTCAATTCACATCAGTTTATCTCTACAGCACCAAGTCACAGCAGAAATCATCTCCGAGCATCATGTACATTAAAAATGATAATAAAAATAAAAGTTCTGTCTCTGAGGAAGCAGCAGGTTGTGTTGAATCTTCTCTTCATCTCAGTCTCTCATCCTGAGCGAGAACAAAGGAGACAGTGGGAAGAAAAAACTCCCTTTAACAGGAAGAAGCCTCCAGCAGAACCAGGCTCAGGACAAGGACCGGCTGGTTTGAGAGGACAGGAAGTAGAAACAAACAGAATGACAGGTCCAGGTGCGGTTTCTATAGGAGGAAAGACAAAACACATTTTAACAGAAATAATTACAAATAGGTAGAATTGATAAATGGACTGTACGTGTACAGCACCTTTCAGTCTCATCACGACACTCAAAGATCTTTACAACACAACCTGTGCCATAATTTACCCATTCATATATCACTCTCCTATAGCTAAACAAAGACCAATCAGTGCTTTAGATCACATTCATACATCGATGGGACACACATGGGAGACAATGAGGGGTTCACTGTCTTTCCCAGGGACACGTCAGCATGTGACTGCTAAGAGAAGAGTAAAGACGGCAGCAGAGAGGAAATGAGGGCAGTTTGTCCTCCAGCAGTCCAAGCCTATAGCAGCATAACTAAGGAATAGCTCAGGAAACCCCTAACTACAGGATTGATCAAAAAGAAAAGTCTTAATCCCAGTCTTAAACTGGACAATGTGTCAGCCTCATGGACATAAACTGGAAGTTGGTTCCACAAGAGAGGAGCCTGAGAACTGAAAGATCTTCCTCCCATTCTGCTGTTGGAAACTCTAGGAACCACAAGTAAACCTGCAGTCTGAGAGCGAAGTGCTCTGTTAGGAGTAAAAAAAAAGGTGAGCAGATAACACGGCTTCAGGCTCATTTATGTGACTGGTCTTCATTGTGTGGACATTTTACTCATACCTATGTAATCTGTCCTGAAATCAGACCTTGCAAGTATAAAACACCAGTTAAAAATCTTCTGCCGCTGAGTGTGGTTCTTTCGTGAGTCAAAATAGTCCAGAAAAAGTCGACATGACAATGGATGTAAATAATATAAATGTTTGTAATGTAATTCTAGAAGCTGCAAAAAATTCAATAAAGGAAGGAGAACGATAGAAACGATAATAAAATCGTACCATGGTGGACAAGTGAATGTAGTAAAATAATAAAATTAAGAAATAAAGCATTTAAAGTAGTTAAAAGAAATTTAATTTATCAGAACTGAATTGATTATAAAAGAAAGCAAGCAATGGTAAAGTGAATCGTTAAGAACGCACAAATAGAATATTGGAGGAAATTCTGTAACACGGTGGGGAAAGAAACAAAAACTGAGTAAATCTGGAAAACCAAAAAAATTAATGTTATTAAAAAGAATATGAATATCCAATATTAAAAAGAGATAACACAACTATAATAAAAGATGAAGAGAAAGCTGAAATATTAGCAAAAACATTAACATCAGTGAAGAAGGAAGGAAAGGTCAGGAAGCCACAAAACTAAAATACAAAGATTTACTAGAAAATACTGAAGAAACAAATAATTTACTGAATGAACCATTTACAAAAGCAGAGCTGAACTGTGCACTCAGGGAAACGAAGAATACAGCACCGGGTAAAGATCACATTTGGTACACAATGATCGAACATCTCAGCAAAACATCCAAAAACACAATATTAGAGTTTTACAATAAGTCTGGGAGGAGGGGGAGCTGCCAGAGCAGGAAGGAGGCGATCATTGTTGCAATAGCCAAACCAGGAAAATTATAGACCTATTGCTTTAACTTCAAATATGTGTAAAATAATGGAAAAATTAATAACAGATTTAACTTATTATTTAAATATTATATGGTATGCATCTTAATATTAAGAGTGGATTTTGAAAAGGGAGACGCGCTAATGATCCAACATTGTGTTTAGAGCATGAAATCAGAAGAGCACAAATCAACAAAGAAAGTGTATTGTTGTATTTTTTGATATAGAGACGGCATACGGCACGATGTGGGCAGAAGGATTATTAATTAAATTATGTCAAATCATGTATGAATGGAAAAATGTTTAAATGGATTCAAAACTTTCTATGAAATAGAACATAGAAGTCAGAATTGGGCAAGAATTATATAAAAAAATTGAAACAGAAAATGGAACACCACAAGGAAGCATGTTAAGTCCTTTATTGTTTTCAATAATGATAAATTATATATTTACTGACATTGCGAAGGAAATGGGATGTTCACTGTTTGCAGATGATGGAGTCGTATGGAAAAGAGGTCGAAATACAGAATTTGTTGTAAAGAACATGCAAGCTGCGATAGTTAGAACAGAGAAATGGGCATTTCAATGGGGCTCAGTAGAAAAAACAAAAGTTATGGCGTTTACACAGAAAAAAATAAGATAGGAAACAAAATTAAAGTTATACAACCAAGAATTAGAACAAGTAAAAAGTGTAAAGTTTTTAGGATTATGGTTTGATGAAAAAATAATATGGAAAATACATATACAGAAAATGTAAAAAAAAAATAATTAAACATTATGAGATGTTTGCTGGCAGTGACTGGGGAGCAGATAGAGGAGCTTTAAAACAAATATACACTGGATTAATCAGGTCAAATATTGATTATGGAAGCATAATTTATGGATCAGCAGCGAAGACACATCTGGAAAAATTAAACACAATACAACATCAGACATTAATTTTTATTACTGAGCATGAACTTTGATGTTTTGAACCACTTTGGCTATGGCTGCCTCAGAGGAGCCGACCGGTGAGAGGGCTGGCCCCAGAGGCCAGGTGATAAGATTATCACCACCAAACTGGTTGGTCCACTATGGGAGTGTGCTGCTTGTGGGAATGAGTTTGGTTGTGGCTCCTCGGACTGAGGAAGTCCTTTGGATGAAGGAAGAAATGTCTCAACAACATAAAGAAACCGTCTGGGTGACCTGACTGAACTTTGTTGGACTATTTTACCTGGATTATTGAGCATGAACTTTGATGTCAAGCATTAAGACTTTTGCCCAGGAGCATTCAGAACCACATCAACAGCAGCACTCCAGGAAGAAATGAGGGAAATGCCATTAGATCTGAAAAGAACACAACAAGCAATAAATTACTGGATAAATTTACAAGGCAGTAACCCAGATCATCCAGCACGTGACTAAATCCATGCTGGGAAAAAGAAAAAGAAATAATTTTGGATGGGTCATAAAAAAGAAAACAGAATAATTTCAAATACACAGTTTAGAAATGAGTCCACATCTATCAGTTATAGCACCCTGGATTTTTAGAAACAACAGTAGATATGACACTAATGGAAAAGAAAAAGGAGATTCACATAGGCCTACAGTACAGACATATATAAACAATTATTATCAGTATGTACCGTGGGCGGAAGTTGTAAAACCATTAAAAACAATAATCTGTTCAGATTCAAGCTCCATTTTATTGAGTTTACTACACAATCAATCAGACAGCAGGCCAGACGTTTTATTAGAAATACTCCACACATTATTCAGAATACAAAGGATGGAATTAACAGGAATATTTTTATAGGTACCAGCAGCACACGCTGGAATAGGAGGAAATGAGATTCAAGGTTCAAGGTCCTTTGCATCACCTCTGCTCCTTATAGCCTCACTGTTCCACCTCCTCCCTCTCATTCACACATGTTCCTCTTCTTTCAAGTGCATACCTCCACCTCTGCAAAAATAGCAATAATATAAACTATTAAAAACAAAAAAGAAGTAAATACAAGTAAATCAGAGGCGAACAGTATTGAGCAAAAACTGAAGAAGTACTGTAATGGCAGAAAAGATGGGATGGAGAAAGAAAAGCAAGATGGTTTTATAGGATCAAGAAGAACTGGAAGAAGGAGCAGAAAGGAGGAAAGATTAATAAGATTAAGATTTGGACACACAAGACTCAATTATATACTTTTTCAAATACAAAAGCCCAATACAGGAAAACGTGAGCACTGTGGAGAACGAAGGAGAGAGTTTGAAAATATAAAATAAAAGTTTTACATAATAAATACACTGCAACATAACTTATGGAGCAAACATACAAATTATAATTAGATATTTTAAGAAAACAAACTTGATTAATAGAATTTGATTACAATATTTACTGTAGTTTATACAGTACAGTGCATGAACACTCCACACCAGCTGGTGGCGGTAATGAACATCTTCAGCTTTCTGATAACGGGAAGAAGAATTTAAAGTTTACCACTTACGGAACAGAAAACTCAACGCTGTGTTTCGACGAGCACATTTTCCGACGGACTTAGGAGCGGTCGCTGCGCTGAAACACTAAAGGTAATACTTTTTCAATTAATTGTAATTTATCTAAAAGGACACTTAGGTTAATATTTAGTATTTGAGTATTTCGTAGGAGGCAGCTTGACTGAATAATGTCCGGACAGTTTAGTTCGTGTTGCAGCGAAAATCATCCGGTAACT